GAGGGGGAGTACGCTGAAGGATCGAACAATTTGGCGTACTACGCAATGGGCACACGAATCGCGTCTCGACGCAACATCAGGCATATACGGTGTATGTCAATTTTTCGCGACAAATGCTGCGAAAGACTGCTGCGGGATGACCGTGGCGGAAAAGATATCAGCGTACAGCTTATCGGTGGTGATATCAACGAGTTCGATGTTGTAAAAGACACATCATCAGGGCTATTATAACCGATCATCGGTTCCACGAAGGTATGTATCTGCCGCTTACCAGTAATATCTCCTACATAAATTGCCTTTTCAAAAAATAAATCAATTTTACAAGTATTGACGTGCTTTCACCACGAAGTCGCCCCCGAGGAGGAGGAGCAGTTGCTCTTTGGGTGCCTCGATCGTATAGAGGAGGTTTACTCGGAGCCCAGCACCAGCACAACGTAGTCTGTTTTAATTCGTATCACGACGTCTTGGCAGTTAGTCTGATCACTTACAGCAATCACCAGCTCTAAGCAAAGAGAAAAAATATCATCATTGGGAAATATTCGCGATTGTATCCTCGATTTCGTCAAGACACGTCGCTTGAATACCCCCAGAAACCCAAGATTATTCTCACAGGCGTGGTGTCGCGAGTTAAGATATTTCGGTTTTCGCACGCTAACGCGTAGATTAAAAAGTGTGTTTTCCCATTGTACTCTGCGTGTGCTAGCCAGGGGTCATGAAAGATGATATTTCAAAAACGATCCGTACATACTTTCGTTAGCCGTAGCATGTATCAGCAAACGCGGAGTGCGCGATAGCCACATCACCAGGGCTATTATAACCGATCATCGATTCCACGAAGGTATGTATCTGCTACTTACCAGTAATAGCTCCTACATAATTTACCTTTTTTAAAAAATAAATCAATTTTACAAGAATTGACGCGCTTTCACCACGAAGTAGCCCCCGAGGAGGAAGAGCAGTTGCTCTTAGGGTGACTCGATCATATAGAGGAGGTTTACTCAGAACCCAGCACGGCCACGGTGATGCAGCGTGTTAACGGTAAAACATACTTTTTTTAAAAAAAAAAAAGATTACGTCTAATTTACGTTTTATTAAAAAAAAGTGGCAGGGCCATCGACAGCGCTGGACATACAGCTGATGGAGGAAGAAGAAGAAGAACAAGAGGGCGAAGAATGGCTTCACGATACGTGGGGTATGCGTTAAACAGCATCGGAAACAAAAGGAAAAAAAAACAATGCGATTTTCTTCATAATTTTTTTACAGATGAGATCATGTCAATAGCATCGGCCGGTAGCGGTCACAGTGGCTATGGCAATGGTGATGATGACCGCTCCACCATGTCCAGCACTTCTAACGAGCACTATCAATGTAATAATTATAAATTTACAGACACCGTTGAAAACTCATCTGTGTGAAAATAAAAACTCAATTTTTTTTGGAAAAAATCCACATTTAGATAATGAAAAAGCCGCAAGTTGAAACATGCAATTTGCTTCCTCCAAATTGTAGGTAGTGTACGAAGTCTCTATATGAGGAAGCATTTTCATTTTTCTTTAATCTTTGGCTTCCTCATATATGAATCTTCATTTACTACCGACGGTTCAGAGGAACCAAATTGCAAAATTTAAATCCTTGGCTTCCTCATATAGCGACTTCAAAAATTTAAAACCTGGAATATATGTAGAACCAGATCCGTTTTGCCGATCTCCGACGAATTTGATACATATCACGGCTGAATGATGGTTCTATACGTTTGGAAAGTTGGAGCTCAATCGATAAAAGTTGACGGGAGTTATATTGATAAATTTGATTTTTCGAAAAATTCAAAATATCATATAATCAAAACTTCTTGATGGATTCTGCCCAAATACAATACCAACCAACCTTGGATACAAATCTTAGTCAAGAACTATTCAGATGAGTATGACAAAATTTGCGATCGCTTGAGTGATAACGTTCTTTTTTGGGGAATTTGAGAAGGACATAACATTCGAGCCGCAGCTTGAATCATGACGAATATTGTAGTCAGTGAAGGTGTTATAGAGTTGCACGTGCCTGCAAATTTTGAGGGCTGTAGTTAAAACCGTTCTGGGGTTATACACGTTTGAATTTTGGGAGGCCATTACACTCACACACACACACATCCAGACATTTTCTTCAAATGTGTTTTGGCACACGCTTGGCACATTCTGAACATGGTGACATGAAGATCTCAAAAAAAAAATTTTCACCATCACACAGCTTCCCCTGTGAGGAAGCAAAATGAAAAAAAAAGTGCTTCAAAAATTATCGTCTCAGAGTTATGGTTTGGTTGTTATCGTTGTCCGAAGTTTGAAAAGTGCAGATGCAGAAATCTTAAAGGTCGTACCCTGCCTCGATCGCTTAAAACGCCGCGTTCGAATAACATCAAATTTGTAACTAACCTTTCAAATTTAGGTTGTGAAGGATCCACGAAATAAGATATTGCATGGAGATTAGTCTCTCGAAGATATTCTTTCCTACGTAATTGTAGACTTGTGGCGAGGCGTGAAATAGGAGGTTTATATTCCGATGGACATCTCATGTCTTCTTAATTAAAATTGTAGAAATTGTAGAATTAACTGCACTGTCTCGAAAACTATGATTCCCAATGAATGTGGACTTTAAAATATTGACGAAAAAGAATAGCATTTGCGTGAATGCATATATAATGCATATAACGTGTAACTTGTAATCTGATAGTGCATGTTTGCCATCATATCATCTAATCATATGAATTTCCGTGATGTAACCTATGCCATTTACTATGATCTTATCTCAGAGATCATTAATGTTTTAAATCACCTTTTTACGTAACTTGAAGTTTCGAACAACAAATTATTTTTAAAAATTCGTTAAAGATTTCCCCCACAGAAACGTGTCAAGGCGATCTTCAAGTTAGTAAAGACTTAAAAGAAATAGATACTGTTACAGGAAAATAATTTTAACCTTCCGCTCGACGTTACCGCTCGCCTAAACTCCTCAAGAGCTCACAGGGGCAAATTTACGAGCAGGGTATAGTTGTCGAAACAGAGTTTATGTTACATGTATTATTTATGCCTTATATTATATTGCCTGTATATTAATTTATTATACGTCCGTAATAATTGTCGAGCCAGTGGGCCTATTGTCTATTCATATAGCATATCGCGTGAGAGCGACAGAGGGACGACATACGGTCGACCCGATAGTTTAATGGGGGGG